AAAGACCAATTCATGCGCTTTCTAGAAACATCTTGACTGCTATCTATTAAGCTCATAGTGCAGAGATAAAATTGGAAAAAGGAAATCTCTTCAATTTCGGAATATTTAAGCAAACCCGTTAAAAAATCTATAACTGTGCCATAAAATCCAAGGCAGCCAGTAACCTAGGTTTTCTGATCCCCTCTTTCTATATGAGCAAAATTCGCGCTGTCTAAGCTCTTCCTAGAAAAGTTATGATTCTTAAGAAAAAAGGCCAAAAAAACAGTTCCTTAAGAAAATTGATTTTTTGACATTTTCTTCAAAAAATCATAACCTTCATAATGACAGCTCGATCAGCACAAATTTTGCTCAGCTAGAAGGAGGGGCTCAAATAGTCTAGGATAATGGCTGTCTTGGATTTTATGGAACAGTTTTAGATTTTTTAACGGGCTTGCTTAAAAATTCTGAACTTGAAGTGATTCCCTTTTCCCAATTTTATCTCTGCATTCAGAGCTTAGTAGATAGCAGCATAGGTAGTTTTAGAAAGTGCATGAATTGCTCTTTTCGATAAGGTTTTAGCCATGCAGAAATATCATGTTGGGAGGAAGTTATGATTTTTTGAAAATGGTGGGACTGAACTTTCGGACCAACCTAATAAAATCAAGTATCACGGTCTTTTCAGCGCTCAAATAGCACGGTGTTAAGTATGAGTGCTTAGGATAGAAGGTATTTTGAATGAAGTGGTACTGGGATAATTTACCGGGAACATGGGAACTTCTGCGGAATTTTTGCGTTAGAATGGATGAAAAAAGGAACTTTCGTAAGGCTTTAAAGATACAAAGCGCTGCGTAACTTCCGAAAAATGCCAGCGGTTCCGCAGCATTTTGACATGTCAGTTTTTATGACGTTGTCTCGCCAACAACTAGAGTGCATTATCGAACATGTCAATCGTAGTGCAGAGGATAGTAGGCGAGTCTCACAGTCAATAGAGTAAAATTAATCTCGCTTCGTTGTTCTCTTTTGCTGTTGTACTTCGCATTCTTCAAAACTTCCGCAGCACCTCATTCGGGAAGTTTCGCAGCACGTTTACGGAACTTCCGCAGGTGAGCCGGCGGAACTCTCCCAAAAAGTTCCGGTCAGTTGTCCGAGTAACACTGCACCATTTGAGCAATTCTGACGGAATTTGTTCTAATCAAGCTTTCAGTTTTTCAACCCAAAAACGCTCATAACTCAGTGTCCAGAGGCGCTAACAAAGAGAGATTTGAAAATAACGTTTAATGCTCTTCAAAACCGTATAAGTTTTATGTGGAAAGGTCACATCGACCAAACGGACCTCCCTACAAGTTAATTTTAGAGCTGGCCAAATCCTTTTGAATTACTAGGTCAAGCGAAGCCAATTGCAGTAACGTTCGTGCTCAAATCGAATCTAACGAGAATCAGTCGTTGAGTGGACCCTTGACTGATCGTGATAAAATTTTGGTGAGTACAAATTATCAAAACTTACATTTTGCTTCTCTGCATTTTTCACTTCGCAGTACTTGCATTTTGATTCGGGTTTACAGATGTTGCTGGACACAAACAATCTTTGACGAACAAGCAGCTGTTGATCTTTTTTTTACAACATATCGTTTCCTAAATCAGTTTTTTTGCTTTCACGCCTCGAATTGTACCTACCTTTGCGACTGTTGGTTTTACAAATACATGGACATGAAACTCTTGATAGAAAACTTTTTCTTGTGAATATTCTCTAATCACCGAGCACCTAAGTGAAATATCTGCATGCCCTTCAGTGTATGATCGGCTTTCAGACTGGTATAGGAGCGATTTGCGGATTTTCCTTGATTGTAAGGGTAAACTTGTTAGACCTCCACTTCAAAATCAAGTTTTTTCATGTCTCCTCGCTATCAAAAACCGGCACGTTTTGAGTTGTTACGACTACTCCTCTATACAAATCGTGGAGTTGATCATTAGAGTTGTCAAATGTTCTAAACACTCAGAGAGTAAATGGATTCATAAATGCTGCTCAAAAATGACTTTTTTCAAAATATTTCGGCAACGTCTAAGGCCTCGGGCAGAGTTCACGCGATTTGATAGTCGCGATTGATGGCGAAGACAACTGTAACGAAATCATTGCATGCCGATCTTCTTGCATTTCGGCTGTCATGGTTTTCCAACACGATAATCGTGACTGACTATCACAACCGAAATACAAGAAGATCGGCATGCAATGAACTCGTAACACTTGTCTTGTAGCGATTAAATCGCGACGATCAAAACACGTGAACTCTGCTCAAGGCCTAAGAAAACTGTTTCTAGGAATGTTCTCTTTCAAGAAAACACAAGGGAATGAACCTATATATTTTTGTATGCCGTACTGAAGAAATTTCCCTGTAAACACCGCATAGTCTTTGCTAAAGAAAGAATTCTTTCAAGTAGATGATTCTGTTGCTTATTCAGCTTACGTAATGACATCCTGGATAAGTGCGGTTTTCGCGCTAAGTCGAATTTTTGTGCTTGCTGCCGTCATGCAGTACTCGCTTTTTTGGAAATTTTTGATGAACTACAACTGCACTGCTCGCGCGATGCAAGCCTCTCCTCGTTTCAGGCGCCGGAAGCACTGCATAAAGCTGAGTCAGGTGCGCCGTTGTCTTCGCGCTCGACCCCTCCTCGCTGGGCTCGTGGCCAAGTCTAGCGATATATAAAGTCACGAGGCTAGCAGTACATAATTATTTACTTTCGGTAACTAGTTTTTGAGTTTCTACTTATTTCTCGTGTATTCTTGTCGATCGTGCTTGGCAGCCGTTCCGGTAAGTTCCCGTGCATGAAGTCTTGTCTTTGGCGGATGGGCGAAGTTGCTGTTGGAGCTTTTAAAATGGGCCGCGCTAAAGTGCTAAGAAAGTTTGGGGCTTGTGTGTAAAATTTAGTACCCGTTGGAGAGGGATCGTACCTGTCCACTGCGGAGACGATCAGGCGGTCGACTTATGTATTTCCATAATGTCGCGCCCTTGAAAATGAGTTGGTGATTATCGGCAGGTTGGGACGAGGCGCATCCGTCCCTGTTCGTACGTGGTAGTTGAAGTTTCTTATTAGTTTACTTTTTTTATATTGTGTAGTTAAGATAAATGTGTAATCTAGTCGCGCCTTGTTGATATGATTCACTGTTGCTTAGCGAGGTTGTTGCACGCGACGCGCCGAAATGGCCAACCAGTGCTAGGGTGTCTGGGTAGATGGTGCAGGATTGGGAGGGGGGGGGAGGCTGAGCCCACCGAGCCGCAACAACATGGCAGATACGAACTGCAAACGGATGCGAAAGGTCCGATCTGACATCGCCGAGCAAGATTTTATGCGAGGGAGCTGGAAAAGTGAAACTCATGGCCCCATTTGCAGAAAGCCTTTCTTGATAACTCCGATTTATGAAGTTTGAATCACATGGCAATTTGTATTTGCTCAGTATTTTCAAGATATCGGCATAGCTATGATGAAATGCAAGAGAGACCTGCATGTATGCGATATGCGAGCAGCATGGATCATTCAGAACAGTTTTAAAGTCCTGCTTCACCCAACATAAAACTGCGAATATGTATTCACCAGTGCGTCGCCTTGTTTTGCAGAGGTTCGTCCTGGCTACATTATCCTATCTGTCCTCATTCTCGCATCATGCTCGCTTTGAATCTTACCGCAAAATGTTGACTATCACCATTAAGTTGTAAACGATTACCCATTTTTCGAGTTTCACACGTAGGATTAATAACTTTAGGTGGTGCAAATACTTTTTGCTGGAGAACAAATGCGATTGTGAATCAATTACGGATTTTCTTCTGGCTTCAAAGTAGCCATGAGGACGGCAATCGACGTGGGCTACATTTCCAACAAGAGAGCGATACTTGGTGTTCATAGCTTTTGAAATAAGAGGTACACCATGCATTTGCTGATTGCGAATCTGATTTACTTTCTGCTAATTGTTTCCATAAAGGAAGCTATGAAGGTTTTCGCGCCAATTCCGCCCAAGGCCGTGTTTTTCAATTTTGCATTGCCTCGATTAAGCTTCCTTTGAATAGACATGCTTGAGGTAAGTGCATGCTCCTACTCTTCAAAAAATGTGGAAATTGTGGAAAATGAAATGATTACTATTTGCGCAAAAATGTATCCATTTATCATAACTCAAGCATTTATTGAACAAAATATGCATTCATTTTCATTTTTATAAGCCCCTTTCGTAACAAATCTAGGAAACACTCACTTAAAAACGATTGCTCGTCAAACAGAGTAAGGGTGTGCATTTACTTAGAGAATGTCTAACTTTCAAAAAAGAAAAACGCTTAGTTGAGGCAGTGCGAAACTGAGAACAAAAAGGATTTGAACCTACCCCGGAATCGACTTGTTGAGGCTATCGCATTAACCACTAAATCACAATGTATGTGGTATTGGCGTTTCGATCGTATTTCCCTTGGGAGGTGGCGGAAACTTGGCGCTAAAATCCTTTGATGATAATCAATATAATCATAATAATCAATTATTATCTTAGTTAACTAAGTAAAATCTTGTGATTGACAATTTACACGATCATTCTTTCTTAGCGCCGTTTTCGCAAAAAATAGATTCTGATCACTTTTCGAGCCGAGTTCATTGCCTTGCGAATTTGCTTTTTGAACAAAGTCCTTGCAAAAAGTTTGGATACCACATCAGATTCGCGAGCCAAATCTGCATGGACCCGTTTAACATCCGATTGACAGATGCGCATATCGCACCCGCTTGTTTTTGGGCATGGTGCTACATAGACAGCTGATACCGTATGCTGTGCAAAATTTTGGCTCGAGACGGTGGCTGCAACTAGCTCTGTGTTTTCCTGACAGGCAGATACACACACAGACTGACTAACAGAGAGCAAACACTGAGAATAAAAAAGCTCTGAAAAAACACTTATTCGCTCAAAAATATGGATAGTGCCAGGCAGCCACTCAATGAAGTACGAAAAAACACAAAAGGATTTCAGAAACTTCTGAAGTGTTTTATTCATTCGGCTACGATATTGGTGATAAGCGAACGACGGTCTCGCCAATGAATTCTCCAGTAGCTGTGCCCGAGGCAAAACTGGCTGCCGGATCAGTTTGCCCTGTAGCCATTGCTGCATACTGAACTGTCATCTTCTCCTCAGCACATTTTGTATTCTGGAACTACAGATACGATATCGAGGTTTAGACGCGAAAGACGTACAGCTCTCATTAATGTGATAGTAGCTTTTCCCAACTCTGGGATTGTTCCATAGGATTCTGCTGCAGAATAATTTGAACCGGTAGGAAAAACCAGCTAAACATAAGCCAGATTATTAGCTGCTATTCTAAAATTCTAAAACCTTGAATGCTATCTTCCTGTCGCTATTGTTCTTAAGTTCTCTTTTTGATCCGCCAGAACCCACAAAAAGAGGATTTTGCGCCGGTACGACCATCATCGGTATTACCATAGACATTGTTACGAATAAATGAAACTACCGTTTGCTTGGCCAATTTCGTATTCATTAAGAAACTGTGTACCCCGTTTGTTTTTCAGACATTCGAGTAAGCCTCATAACGTGAGGGTAGGCTGCAGCGGCAGAACAGAAAGGAAGAATTCTAATTAGTGCCTACTCCATGCCTGATTGCGAGCTACATTATGAGGAAGCTTTCTCAGACTAATGAAGAATATCTCTCTCTTTTCTAATTTAAGCATTTTGTCTTTATTTCATATCTTTGCGCGGTGACCTGAGTTCGACGTAGCCGGCTCTCCGAAGCTCCGCGGAACTCTAATAATATTCGCGCATTCTCAAATATGTTCTTGATACAAATAACTCAAAATCGGATAACCAACTCCATTATCCAACTTTTGACAACCAAAAGAGTTATGACAGCCACCAATTTACAGAAATTCTTGGCCCAGCCTTAGCCACGCACTCCGAAAAATTTTTTGGTATGCTCCCTAAAATTTTCGCAAGCTCAGAAGTCCGAAATTTCAGAAAAAGGGGCGTGGCTTCAGCCACTCCTCCGAAAAAAATTTTTTTATAAGGCTAAAATGAATTTTTAAAAAATTTAAAAAATTGTTTAATTATTTACAGGCGTAGAAAAATCATTTGCACAATTTTATAACCCACGTAAGCAACTTTCAAAAATTTCGCTACCCGTTCTCGGGGAGGGGGGGGGAGCCCCCCCCCCGCCCCCTCTCCCCTCGGTACGCCACTGTCACCTTCAGATTTTGCTTTGTAGCTTCGTTTTTCCAAATTTTTCTTTGCTCAAACCGTTGGGTTCTTGTCCTACTACATTACTGATTGTATTTATCAACCTATCGTGACTTATTATAAGCGGCTTATTCTGTCGCTGTGTAGAGTTTGTCCGTTACGGAAGTACACTGAGAATGATATACACCACGGGACAAAAGAAGTTCATTTTTATTCGGGTTACTTACAATTAGAGGTCAATCAACTGAGGAATGATAAACCTTTAAATAAGTTTGCATAATGCTTTCCAGAATGGCCAGCGCGAACTTCTGCGAAGCAGAAGTGAGCGCTGATTTTGATGATTTTAATCGGAAAACTTGTAATCCTAATGTGCGAGCCATAGCAAGCTCACGTTTAATCCCGTAAGACTTATCCTTCAATCCCAATTTGCTTCGCTATGTTTTTGTAGTTCGTTAATGCTAATTCAGGTATCAAAACTGGAGCCAACTGGAGTTTTGAAGTATGTTTTTTATTATAACTTGCCAAAACTCTAGTCGAGACAACCATCGTCGTTAGCACTACCTTCTATGATAATGTCTCGCTTGAATATCCCACTTTATTTTAGAAGAAACTCCACTCTCTTGTCGATTCTGTCTAGTTCAGTCAGAGGTTTTATGTCTTAGAGTTGATTCTGATATAAGATCTTGTTTCTTAAGACTGTCCTCAACTTAAGACTGCACACACTCCACAATGTCGTACATCGGCCAGTATGAAGGGATTTGGAAACGACGGCGACAAATCTCCGTTATGAAGATGTATTACACTATTGTAATAATTTTTTTGTAATAGTCATTACCCACACCTATTGTAAAGCAACTTTTAGTATGACAGCTTTCATAAAGGTGAACTCAATGGCCCGCAATTCTTGCCTTGTAGGACAACATTCAAGGAGAAGTTCTAGTTCTGTTGTATCTTTCTATTTAATTGCGCAGAGATGACTTTGGTCGAGGACATCTACCAATGGTCGTCTTTATTTGAGAACAAGGAATCCATTACAATAGTGGAAGATCATGTTTTGCAGACTGCTGAGAATGCAGTAGAGCTTATGGAAGTGGAAGCTTTACACTGTTTAAACCTTAGATCTGATAGTTATAGCGATGATTTGACTATTCACGATTTCTTCATTATTAGTATGGATCACAACTGCCCACGTACTCAGGCGAGGAGAATGTATCAACTACACGTCTTGCATTTGATTCGTATTCTTTCTGCATCTGTGCAGCTATGTAGTTATCCCCAATCATCCCACTGTTACGTGCATTTTTCCTTTCTTTTCTTCGCATATCCTCACTAACCTCAATTTGTCTCCGTACTTCACTCTGCTCTTCTAATCGTAATGTGTGTTAATTTCTTGCCCTCTTCGTAGCACAACGGATTTATCGGTTGAAGGTTACATAGTGTAAAAACACATTATTTCTACCTTTGCAACTTTAACATAAATCAGGCGTGCGCAACTATTTTACTGTACTTTACTGTATGCACAGCATGAGAGGCACTCGTCATGCAAGAAAATTCTAGACGTTCTTCTTTGCCTAATTACTAGCGTAGTGAACAATGTAAGCTAGAAGTCCAGCCAGTAGTTCTTTTATGTTCCAGGTTGCCCAATTTGTTGACGTTGAGCAGTATGAAAACAAAGTGTGTGCAAGTAATTTGTGAGCATTGTCAATCAAACGTTAAGCAGGGGAAAACGCCGTTTGAGATATCTTAGGACATCAAGCAAAAGTAGTTATAATAAACGTCCACAGGTCTTCAAAGAACGAGGTACACTACTCAAAACAGGCTTGCAGCAGGAACTCGTCATAATGTCAACCTTAGAGCATAGGTCAGAATGAACAACTTTTATTCTTCCATGAAAACCTCAGACTCTCGCTAACAACCCCATACATCTTCAGATTTCACATCAAGCAGTACTTTCGAGAAATGCTGTTTGGAAGGACGACTTGTGAGTTTTATGGATGCGCTAAATCTCTCAAGCAGGTGATACGATGGCCACATGCTAAACGTATAAGTTTAATCACAGACAATGTGCCTTATTGCTCAAAGCAGCCGAAGAAATTGCCCACGACTTCTTGAATTCTCCAAAGAAAGGCGTATAAAAGCAACATGTGAGAAATTCATTGAAGAAAGGGCTACCAAATTGGAGTTGCAAGAGGTAATCCTAACTGCAGGTATAGCGGTAAACATTAATATATCCCATTCGGTCCATGAGTATATGCAGTCGAAGGGCGATATTGTGCCCTCCGTAGTACGGAGCAAATATATGAGAAATTCAGGGTTAACCTGAGCAGATTCCAGCCATTTCGTTGCCTTTTCAATCCGATAGAGCTATGAAAGAGCTCCTTGAGCGTACCTGAATAAGCGCTTTAAGACAACGGACAAGACCAACCTGGTACAGTATTAAAAGGTTGATGCTACATTTTTTGAGACTTGAGCTACTATTGAAATAAGGAGGCTGCATGCAGCTTTGACGAAAGATATGACGGCGTTTTGGTTCGCAAACGTCTCGAGCAATCTAACTGAAGCTCGGTCTGCAAGGAAGAAAGAGCGAGACCTGGAAAAATCACATAAGAGATAGGGAGGAGAAAAGAGCTCATTTATCAACCTCAAATTTCCACCTAATATGAAAGCGATAAAGGAATCGAGTATGTTAGCGATGAAGCATTCGGGGACAGGGATGATCTGTACTTTCAGTCGTTCTGTTTTCATATGACACCAATGATCAAGAAAAAATCAACAAACCACCAAACTTTGCATCTTACGCGACGATTAACAAAAAACGCAAAAATCACAACCACAGTGGAATTTAGAGGAGCATGCCTGAACTTGGAGTAAATTTACATGAAGGGACAGAAAAAGAAGAAGGCCCCGTTTTGCTTCTCCCTTTAGGAGAAGAAAAAGCAGGAACTGGAACTCCAGTAAGAATAAAGGCTGTAAAATCAATTTTAAAGACCTAAGAAAAGAGTAGCTATCCAGAAAACATATTACATGATGAGACACTAGCTAACTATGTCATCATCAAATCATATCAAGCAGAACAAGAGCATTCGTCGCAACATGATTACAAGCAAACCGCAGTCTACAAAAAAGTTAAGTCACGGTTGAGCCAGACTGCGCGGAGTATGCGACATACGCAGCGCACGCATGCGTGTACAGAGATACGAGGTGTGCGCCGCGCAGTCTGGCCCAACCTCAAGGCGCCATGATGAGATTTTACAATTTGTACGCAGTCAGTTTGACATCGTAAGGGTGAGTAACGACTTGACACATGCGCAATGAGCCCACAGTATAAACACCAGCAGAGTTTGGATACGCTTTATTTCAATGATCATTGCTGGGCAAGCACTCAATTGATCTATCAACAGCGAACCAAAGGTGCGATAAGTTGAGAATGACTCCTCCAGGGTGAAGGGGGTCACAGTGGTCGCAGCCCCTCCAGGGTGAAGGGTGTTTCACTTGGTAGAGAAATTATAAAATGTCGACGGGGGGGGGGGGGGGGGAGGGAAGGGAGCCATGGTGTTTTCTCATCATTTTTCCTAGTCAGGTAGCCATGGTGTTTTCTCATCATTTTTCCTAGTCAAAGTTCATAATTTATTCCTTACTATCACTGGTTATCTTTTTTCTGAAATGTGAACCCATGTGCTGTTGGATTAGCATACAATTATATTTCTACCCAGCATCTTGTATTTTTTACATTCCCTTTTCCTTTATTTCATCACCCTGCCTGTTTCTAGAATTACCATAGAAGATGTGCATGTGAGAACATTTGCTTCGGAAAAAGATAATTTTTGAACATTCACGAATATTTTTAAAAGAAGAAATTCGTAATTTCTGTAGATGAACAGCAACGTCAGCAAGGGAAATGTTTTTAAAACCATCTTGTCTTCCGCTTTTAGAAAATATATAGTTTGCCTGGAGTCTGTTGAAAAAGTGCCTGGTGAAGAGTGTGGGTAGTGATTTCTGTATAATTACGAGTTTTTAGGATAGAAAAATCCGTAACTTTTGTAGATGAACATCTTGTACGTCGTAATGGTTACCATTGGAACCGTCTCGTCCTCCGCTTTCAGATAATATATACTTTGCCTGGGCCCCTTGAAAAAAGTGCTTGGGTGAAAGGTGTCCTAGTGATTTCTGGAAATTTACGAGTTTTTAGGATAAAAAAATCCGTAACTTCTGCAGATAAACATTTTGTACGTCATGTTGGTCACCATTGGAACCGCCTCGTCCTCCGCTTTCAGA